AGAAAAAGAAAAAGAAAAAAGAAAGGAGGAGGAAAGACAGGATAAGGCCATATCATGGAATCCAAAGAGAATTAATTGGTGTCAAAGAGAGTGACAGGGTGCCTTAAGCTGTAAAATACTTTGAAGAGATTGTAGATGGTAAGGACCATGAAGCTTTTACCTTGACAACCGGAAATTCAGTTACATTTGAGTGAAAAGTTTTCTCAGAAGTGTGGAATGGAAACCAGAGTGTAAAGAGGTGAAGCCAAATATAGATCTAAAGTTTTGAGATGGGATGTTGCCCAGGCTGGTCTTGAACTTATAAGCTCAACCAGTCATCCTATGTCAGCCTCTCAAGTACCTGGGACTACAAGCACCTACCACCATGATCAGCTTAGAGATTTTTTTTTTTAATTAACCGGGGTCAATGTCCTTAAAAGTCTTCAAACCTTTCTCTGTTTATATTTCCTGAATCTTGCACGGTATCTAGAACAGAATAGTGGGCATTCAATACATTCTTAAGAAAGGAAGAAAGAAAAAGAAGGAAAAGAAATGTCCATGCATTTGCTTGTGTAAACAAGGTAACTAGATATGCAAATTTTATAGAAAGAAACAAAATATAAAAAGGGAACCAAAATACTATATTAAGGGGCCTCATGAATTTGAAATAAAGGCTGTGAATTTGGATTCTTGACTTTGTTTTTACCTTTTTTTGGTTCTGAACCTGTTTTCTCCTATTCCCTTTTCCTTATCCAGGAATGACAATGTGTATATGTCACATGGTGATATTCACATACATAGTTTGATCATTAGCATTCTAAATCCAAGAACTCACTGCTTTCTTTTATTGGTTCTTGTTTTGCAGTGTTGGGGATGAACCAGGGCTTCACTCATGCTAGGCATGCACTCTCTACTGAGACACAGTTCACTGCCTTCTTTTATAATATGATGTTTGATATTGATTAGTTCTCATGAAAAATATGGATGATGAAACTATACAGGAAAAACCAATTACTCTATAAAACAAGTCCAGATATTGCCATCAACTAATTTTTTTCTGTATTGATGTGGTTTACAGATGCTCTCCCTTTCCAGTTTCATCAAGTAGTTTTGGTGGGGTTTTTTTTGGTACCGAGGATCGAACTTGGGTCCTTGCGCTTGTGAAGCAGGCGGCAGAACCACTGAGCTAAATCCCCGGCCCCCATCAAGTAGTCTTTGCTAAGGACCTGGACAATGAAACGACAGCTACATTTCCACTTACTTTACAATATTTTGTTTCCAGTACATATCACCTCACAATGTGTTCCCTCATGGCACATTACATAATCATTAAATTAAAAATGAGAAGTGTGGTTGATGATTGACTGCTCTCTAATTACCCAGAGTGTTTGTCAAAGGCAGTAGGCAGGAGGCATAAGCTCTATTTTGCTGTTATATTGACTGTCAAGGTCACAGCACATCTCTACTAATGTAAAAAACTTCCCTGACAAGGATGTTTGGGAAGCAGTCCTTTCCCAGTGGAAAAAGAATAAACAGTGAAGAAAATGATGTGGTGATCCAAATGGGTTCATCCCATGCTTTCAAAATAAGGAGCATTTCTAAAATCAGTGTTTGTCAACTTTTTCCCATAATTGAGATATTTATAGACTTTTCCTAACAACTCTCCCATGAAATTTTAATATCTTAGATATACTGTTCAGCTATTTCTGTATTGAGATCCTCTGGAAGGACATAACCCATTGTACTATGTCAAATTCTGTCTCTGCACCATGTACAACTTATGGCCTGTTGAGAATGCTTGTCTTGCACTTTTCTTGCTAGCACACACTGACTTAATTCAGATACTGTTTTACCAATTAAAGTCTTCTATATGCAAAGCTACACAATTCTGGCATATACAGCTCAAGAGGGTGTATGACAAAAAATGATTCTTTAGTAAGGCATATCTTTTCTTTTCTTTTCTTTTTTTTTTTAGTACTGGGGATGGAACTCGGGACCTTGCGCTTGCGAGGCAGGCGACAGAACCACTGAGCTAAATCCCCGGCCCCTAGAAAGGCATATCTTGCCAACCAAAAGACCAAATCTCATTCCTTTCCTACAAATAAGGAAGCCCTGATAATATTAAAGAGCATGTGTTTGCCAAGGCAGAATGGTGTGTATGTCAAAAATGTTGTACCGCTCATGAATTCAAATTCCTCCACTTACGTACAGGTTTTGCTCCCAAAAGGAGTAAAACTATGAAGTGTGACAGCTACCATCTCATATGTGTGTTTATTAGTACACATTTATCAGGCTCTGACTATATATACTTTTGGTTCCACGAGAGCAGGGAATTTATCATAAAATAAAGAAAGCTGAACAGGAGAAGGAAAGAAGGAGACAAGGAACTGACTAAGAATACTATATTTAGTATGAAGACTTGGACCTGCCTGCAAAGAAATAAATGAATAAAATGAAGTATTATAATCACGTGTAGCTATAGGGAGGTCAAAGCAATGATTAGTTCTACCTGGTTTGAGGTTGGGGGCAGTGAAGTGGGTTACAAAAATGTTCACAGAGACAAAGTTGCATTAAGACTTTTGTGAGCACTAAAGAGTTCTTGACTTTGTGGGCTCCTTCTTACATTACAAATATGTATTTTAGAATACTATAACTCCGATACAACAAGATGATTATAATTATCTGCTTGCTTTGGAAGCATAGAGCTGGGAGAATCAGCAAGGTAAGATATTTAAGTGAGAAAGACCCTGAAGACAAGCTGGAAGAGGCAAGGGAGAGAGGAAACAGCTTGCGCAAGGCCTGGGAGGGAGAGATCTATGGACGACTGCATGAAAACATGAAGAGGGAAAAGGAGACACCAATGGAGACAGAAAGAAGGGAAAGGGTGATAAATGAAGTTAGAGAGAAGGGTGAAGGTAAAACTACAGCAAACCCTGTGTTAAGAAGTCTAGTTTTATAATGATAATGAGAAGCCATTTAAAAGTCTCCATTTTAGAAACTAACCACATCATGTTTGCATTTTGGGGATTCATTCAAGCTGCACTGCAGCCAATGGACTGGCAGATCCTCCAGACCTCTCTTTAGGGCCAAGGAACCCATCTCCAGCTGCTAGGAATATTAGCTGTTGAAGGTGCACAACCCAATCCTTCGATGGGAATTGTACCCAGCCACAGTGAGCTGCCTTTCTCAAGAGCAGACCCTCTCCCAGAGTACCTATAGCTGTGAATGACTATTGTGGAGACAAACGGCCTGGGCCACAGATAACCCAAGCTCTTGTGCTCCTGAAGGCTAAGGCCTCTGTTGTAACTATGTCGCTGAATACTTTTCCCCTTGCCTAATCCTACTCTGTTAATTTCCTGCTGCTAAAAAGCACATAACTATGAACTTAATGGCTTAAAACAATACACATTTAACAGCTCACTGAGTCTGTGGTCAGGAGCCCAGCCATGACATAGCCGGATTCTCTCCAAGCTGCAAAGTGTTGGCCAGACTGTATCCATATTTGGACATTTATCTGGGGCAAAAAAAAAAAATCTCACTCCAGTTTTCATCAGAATTTATTTCTTGTGATTGCAGGAGTGAAGCTCCCAGCTTCTTGTTGGTTGTTTGCTGGATGCTATCTTTGTGAACCAGCAATTCCTAGAAGCCTCCCAGTTTCTTTCACATGGGCTTTCCCAACATGGCCACTTTACTGAATCAAGCTAGCATGGAGAGTCTTTAGAACAAGTCCGCTAGCAAGAGACCCTTATAAAAGCAACTGCAGCAGTCTCACATCTCATGGCCTTTGTTGTACTCTATTCATTAGAAACAAGCCACAAGTCTAATACTCCCGGGGGGGGGGGTGACTACCAGAAGGCATAAATACCAGGAGATGGGAATAATAGGGAGCAACCTTAGAGTCCTTAGAGTCCATCTGCTCTACTTGCCTTCCTCATATCTCCTGAGAGCACTACCCAATTAACCTTCTGCATCCAACTACTCATTTTAAGATCTGTATCCAAGGAGCAACACTAGAAGCAAAGAAATGAGGTAGAGACTGTTGCTATAACCTTAACTAAGGGAGACAGTAGGGAGAGAATGAGTACCAAGCTTTATTTCCATTAATAAATGTATAGTCCTTATAATGATGGCCTATTTGGAAATAAAATCAACTCCATACTCAAAGGAAATGAAGTCAGTATGTCAAAGAGACATTGGCACTCCAGTAGCAATGCAGCATAGTCATATTAGCCAAGACATGGGAACAGCCTAAGTGTCAAACATCTGATGGATGCATAAAGAAAATGTGGTGCATATGCACAATAGAATAGAAGCCAGAAATGGTAACGAATGAAACCCTGTCATTCACAGTAACATAGATGGAACTGGAGATCATTATGTTAAATGAAATAAGCCAGGCACAGAAAGGAGAGGTACTGCATGATCTCACTCATATGAAAGTTTAAAATGTTGCTCTCATAGAAGCTGAGAAGAGTAGAATGGTGGTTGCCAGGGCCTAAGGAGGGGAAGGTAGAAGGGATGGAGAAAAGTTGGTCAATACCTATGAAGTTACAGCTAGAAGGAGTTCTGATCTGCTACTGGACTACAGGGTGACCAGAGATAATGCTAATGAACTGCACTTTCAAAAAGCTAGAGGAGGCCAGGGATTTAGCTCAGTGGTTTCGCTGCCTGCTGCGCAAGTGTAAGGACCCAAGTTCAATCTCCGGTACCAAAAAAAAGCTAGAGGAAAAGACAAGTGTTTGAGGCTACAGATATGTTTAACCTGATTTAAACATTACACAATGTATATACATATCGAAATATCACATGGCAATTCATACATATATAGTTTTTATGTTTTATGTGCCAGGTAAAAAAAAAGTAAATTTAAATTGAAAAAAGTCAAACCCAAAACCTACAAGGTGTCTTCAAGTAAGAGTACAGACAACAAAAATAACAATTACGCATAACTAATAAAAATAAGACTCACTATGTTCCACAGTGTGAAAATAACTCTCAGAATATAATCAGCCACACAATCAGAAAGAGGAGATTACTGCTTTATTAAGTTAGCATAAATTGGACTTTAACAAATTGCAGAAATAGTCAATGAATAGAATTACCCTATTAGAGACTGGTATTCAGAAGATATATAAGAAACTGTTGCCATGATAACAGAACAAAATTCCACCCTATAAGTCAACATTCACATTTTTGTCCATGTCATTTAAAACTGTTTACTTTTGCTTTTGCTTACCTAGTCATATAGAGAGCAATATCAACAAGATTCAGAAAGGTCCCATTTTCGATGATTGCTATACCATGTTATAGGTATTCTCCACTGGGAAAATTATTTCCTTTACATTTTCAAAGTGTGATATATATAATGTATATTATGTGTATTATATATATTTCTGGCTTTGTTTCTAGAAATGCTTAAATCAATAACTACAAGCACCACATGACTACATTTACACATTGTGTTGTAAGAGAAAATACATTTGAATATTCTGAATAGTCAACACCTTACAATTTCAGTGCTCTTTATGGGTATAATTGATTACTTATCACTTACAAGAACATTCAATGTTTCTTCCAAAAAAGAATGGTGAAATAAAATATATAACCTGCCCTTAGTATTTTGGGATGCTTAGCAGTAGCACAGAAATAAGTGTTAAGTTTCTTGGAGAAGCAGAACAGCAGCCCCTCAAAGAGGGGTGAGCCTCTCATCCTCCGTCATGAAGACATCGTTAACAAGCCCTCCTTTCATGTCCAGGGAATCACAAAGGATGCTGTTTGCAATTGTGGCCATGTTTTCAAACTTGTCCTCTGTGTCATCCACTTCTGATGATTCTTTGTTCTTCCTAAAAGCACATAAACAGAGTGATTGAGGTCTAGGAGAAGAAAGAATGGCTGAGTAAGGTCTTCTGTAAAGACATGGAGAACATAGATTGGAACAAGTGGTCTCATTTAGTACACTATATATATATATATTATATATATATATAATATGAATTAATATGTGTGAGCACAAACATATACACATACACATTCACATAGACAAATTTCTTGAAGGGATGTGAGGAAAATGTATGATACATTGGCTAGTTTAAAAATTTAGGTCTAAGAGAACTTAATAAAAACACAATTTTTTAAAAAACAATAAAGTTGTCAGATAGGTTTTGACAAATCAACACAAATCTTGAGTGAAAATTAAATTGAAATGAGACATTCAGAAGTAAACTCACATTACTTCATAAAAAGTAATTGTTATAAGTTGTAGATATCAGGCTGGGGATTTAGCTCAGTGGTTCCACCACCTGCCTCGCAAGCCCAAGGTCCTGAGTTCGATCCCCAGTACCAAAAAGTAAATAAATAAATAAGTTGTACATGTCACCAACTGGCTCTAATCATTACAAAATTGTTGTTAATCTATAAGTCCGGTTTGGGGGACCCAGAACATATTTTCCTAATTATATTACAGCCCACAGCTGCAATTCCATCCAAGTCATTCTGAAAAATTCTACATGACAGGATAAATTTTTTAATTTCTCACACTTTGACCCTTTGTAGACCATGCTACTCCAACCCAAGTGTTAACCAGATTTTTAAATTCCTTGCAGCGTGGAAGGATATGACCTCAAATTGAAAGCTTTTCCTGTCTGTTGTGAAAGACCAAGACACTGAGCCAATAATGTTTACTGTTATGGGGTATGGAAAAGAAGAGAGGTGACTGGCTCCAGGTAACCAGAGGGAGAAAGGGTTTCACTGAAACTTGAATGCTGTGACACCACTCTGTGGTACCACCATGGACACAGGATATTAGGCATGAGACTCCAGTCTTGCAAAGGATTCTCTTGTACCAGGAATCTGTGAGCCTCCAAAGACCCAGATATGAAGGGATCCTCTAGTGAGGATGTTGGGCATGGCTGTGGTGATCAGAGTGGACTCCCAGCACTGTGGGGGTACCTTAGGACCTTGATGAGTCTCTGACTGGCAAGGAGGTGGTGAAGATGGCTCATTATGATCAAGATGGAATTTCCTGTTCGTCCTACAAGACAGGCAGTTTTAATGTGCTTTAAAAAATACAATAGAAGAGGGCCGATTTAGCTCAGTGGTTTCTTTGCCTGTTCCACAAGCACAAGGACTGAGTTCGATCCCCGGTACCAAAAAAAAAAAAAAAAGAATACAATAGAAGGAACAGCACAAAAGAGAAAGCTCTTCTTTACAGAAGAATGCAACTAATGTGGAAAGGATAACAGAAACTGAAAAATCACTACTGCGATAATAATTAATTCTGACGAGGCTTATAAATGGATACTAAACCATAGAATGAGAGATGATTGAGGAACAGGACAATCACATGGTCACAAAACATCACCCCCACAAGCAATATACTGTACTAATTACAAAAAGGCACTTGCATTTTGCCAACAGGGAAATCTGGTGAATACATCAACGATCAGACAAACTGACAAGTCCCTCCATGTGTAATACACTGAAAAGATCCTAGACATTTATTTTTTCTGTATTCTTGCCCTTCCCCTCAATTATTTTTACCTGAGTATCATAATGAGAAACAAATCAGAAAAATCCAAATTTAAAGATATTTTGTAGAACAACTGACTTGGACTTAGCCCAGAATAGGCACTCAACTTGGTGGATGAGTCAGTGAATAAAGACCAATGGCTGTCTGAATATCAAATTATTAGATGGATGGCTATCTGAATGGATATAAGATGGATGGATGGTCAATCGGATGGATGGATGGATGGGCGGGTTGACTAACAAGGCAAAGTTACTCAACGATTATTCCAATGAAATTTCTTTTATTTCTTGTATTTTTTAATGGAGGAATAAAAGATTCATTTTCATGCCTTAGGAATTAGGATTTAGTTAGCATGGATTTTACCAAAATTTGGTGATGCTTTATTATATAATTTTAAGGAGTTGAAGTTCATAAAGAAAAGTAAAGTAGAATTCTAATACTGTAGGTTGTGATGAAATCAATTAAAAGTATTTTGGCATGGTAGATTGCCAACATCAACTTGCACAAGCAACACTACAGACAATCACTAAATTGAGGTTTTAAATATTAATTTATAAAACTTTTGGCTAATGCTGGGTTGGAAGTTGGGAGTTGTGGTCCCAGAGACCTAGGAAAAGAAAGGTGGTTGTGTTTTCTTTCCCATTGTTAGGGTGAAGACACTTCACTGGCCATTCCAAACAGCAGCAATCAGGGACCAAGCCGGGTTGGATATATTAGAGTTTAATGTGATGAGAAAGTCCTCCAGCCTCCTGCTGGAAGATTAGAACATCTTATCCCTCCTCTAGTGGACAGAAGTACTGCCACTTTCCAGGTCCTCCAGAAAGAAACCATCAGTCATATCACTTCTGTTCAGAGTATTCAGCATTCATTAACAACAGCTTTGAGTGCTTACCGTATGGAAGAGATGAAGTCTTTCTCCTAAAGGAAAGGACTCAATGAAAGGGGAAAACTGCAAATTTACTTATTTTTCCTCTCTTCATTTTAATGCTTTCTAAAAGAGAGGAGTGACATTTCACAGGAATGAAACTTGGGTAGGAAATGTATGTTTATAAATTATCATCCAAAAATGTCTGCTCCTGCAAATTACCCCCAAATCATTCCTTAATGGGCTTGGAGTTAATAATTTGTCATTAACAATAAATGGATTTTAAATGATCAAATCCTACCCTGAAATTTGTGTGTGTGAGTATGAAATCCACGTTACAAAAATCATACTGAATGGGACATTCTGAAGTATCTGGCAATGGATTGCCAGTGTCTATTTACCAGTTTCTTCAGTAAAAGATATTTTTATGGAGTTAGAAGAAAAATGGCAGGGAGTGGACATGTGCAGATCAATGCCAGGTATTTCACCTTCCCCTCCTCAGCCTCAAAGGAAAAAGAACCTATCAGGCATCACAATTAATGCAGAAAAACTAAAACAGAAAATGCAAACAGACAAGGAAAGGTTTCTCCTCTTTAGAAAAAGGGACATTTTGCAAACAAGAAGAATCTAAGGGATATCTCTGTGGAAATGTATCACATTGAGCTGTGTCAGTAGTAAATTAGGTACAGATCATTTTTTTGACCTTAGATCCAGCTGTTCAGAGTCTTGGCATTGCTGGGCTTCGCTAACTGCAATGTCAGTAACTTGCTGGCTGGTAGACGTGATAAGAAGCTCAAAGGTTATCTAACAGTAATAGAGCACTTTGTCACATTTCATAGCATGTGCTGTAATAAACTGATTCACTGCCTGCACATTGCTCTAAGAATAATAAAACTTAACTGTTTTTCTAGATCATTCTGATTTGATGTTCTGCTAAAAACATGAGTTCTTTTGCCTGAAAAATAAAACTGAGTGTTAATGACTTCTGCCACCCACAACATGAGGTGGTTCAGGAAGAGGATGAAAAACCTGTGACGAAACTACCTCCTAGGAGCCTTCAAAGCAGGTATCTCTCATAAATCCAAAGAGAAGAAGGGCAATAGAGGAGGACAAAAGAAGTCTCCAGTGGCCTTCAGAGTTGGAGGTGTAAAGGGACAGGATTTGCTCTGTTCTGAGACAAAGTGATGGAGAAAAAAAACATAAAAAATATTTCAGGGTCCTTTTAAGCAAAATAGGGCCAAAGAGCTAAGGTCTAAGAATACTCAGAAGAACAATAAAGGACAGATAAATGTAATTTTCAAACAAGATAGAATTCTTGGGGAATTGGGACTGTCCTCATAATCAGACTAGATAATTCCAGGGGGAAACATCAATGTTACTAGGGTGATTGGAGTGAGCATCAAGGAGACTGACAGGCTCTGGGATCGAGTCTGTTTGGTTTTAAATCCTGGTACCACCTCTTTCTAACCATGTAACCATGGGCAAATTGTTTTCCATCTGCCATGTAATAGCAATAATGACAATGATAAGTATCTATTACATGGCAGAAATCAGAGTGGACACATTGTATACATCATCTCATTTAATTCTCACTCCAACATTATGCAGGTTTTATTATTATCTGTTTTTCATATGAAGAAACTAGGTTTCAAATATGGAGAGCCACTAGTCTTTCAGAATGGAACAAGATTAGTGAAAGAAGCTGACCTAGAATTCTATTTTAGTCTCCCCGAAACACATGTTAGCTTCCTTTTGGGTATGTATATTTAAACACAGCAAAAGGAAAGAATTAGTCTGACTTTTCTCATTTTATCTCACTTTTATTTTAATACAATTAATTCATTCAATTAAGACTTCATAAGAATGTGAAGTCATAACATATGAAAATGTTGACTGAACCCCATCACCTTGTATGAAAAGCCAGATTTGTGGAAAGTCAAATGTACTTTTATCTACTAGTGACCTTATGGGAACAGAAGTATAACTAGACCCAAATCAAACAAATTTACTAAGGACTCTGCTCAGCTGTGAATGCTGGCTAGAGTCCTTTGTCCTAAGTCCTTGGCCTGGCTTTGTTACCAACTCCAAGATTATAATCTCCATGTAGGCAAAGACCATCCATGTTATCTGTTTGTCTCTTCTATGATGTGTACTATAGCTCGTATCATAGAATGAATGGTCAATAAAGAAATAAAATAGTGCCTCTCTGGGCTTTGGTTTCTGGAGGGTTGTATTTAGATAACTGGTAAGATACTGTCCTAAGACCCAGTTGCGATCTTAGACCCAACTAAGGTCTAACACTGGAGTAGTCTATTTATTATATACAGGGTTCATGAATCAATTCCCCCATATACATCCAAGTCTGAAAGTGCGATGTGTCTGTGACTCTCTTATATACCACAAAGTGCCAGGTTATATAAAATTATCACTGTGTAACTGCTTTTTATAGC